ATGTGGTGAAAGGGGAACACTCTTACACTGTTGGTGGGAATGTAAATTAGTCCAGCCACTGTGGAGAACAACATGGAGGTTCCTCAAAGACCTTCAAATAGAACTACCATGTGATCCAGCAGTTTCACTCCTGGGTATCTACCCAAAGGACAAGAGAATGCTCAGTCGGAAAAGCGCTTGCACAACTATATTTATTACAGCATTTATTACATCACGATTGCTAAGACATGGAACCAACCCAAATGATCACAAACAGATGAACAGATTGAAATAGTGTGGCATATATACTCAATGGAATACTATTCATCCATTAAAAACAACAAAACCCTGACTTTTGAGAGGAAGTGGATGAATATGGAAGACTTACTGCTGAGTGAAGCAAGCCATGCTATGAAGGAGAGGCATTGTATGTCTCCACTTAATATATACCGAGTGCCTGCACTCTAAAAATATATATATATTTGAAACCATACTGCTTCTGTTGTTATAGAGTCATAAAATTATACAAAATTATAAGAAATATTTTGAACATTCTCTTTAAAATTCAGTATTTTGAACTTTTGAAAGTTGTTTGTAAACTGTCAAGAACTATGGAGTATGAGCTAAATTTTTTTTATATGTAAAGTAAATGTTTGTGGAAAAATGTAAAAAATAAATAAATGAAAGAAAAAAATAAAAAAGAAAGGAAATTGCACTCTTGCTCCAGTCAAATACAAATTAACACAACAAAATTTGCCTTTTACATCCAGAATTTTTCTATCTTATTTTGCTTATATACATTTTAAACTACAGAAATACTTCCAGGTTTTATAAGCTAACTTCGTTTCTTATATTTGTTCAAGCAACAGTCCAATTAATAAAATCAATGAGGTGATGGTTATGTACATATAGTTGAATATTTTTTAATATGATAAATATTTTTGAGAATGTATTTTTGAATTTTTAAAATTATTTTTAGAGAGATTTTTCCTGTAGGGAACTACTCTCACCACAGAGACAGACAGGGACAGGGAGGGCAAAACATGAGAAATCATATCCCAAGGGGAATTGCCACACCACAGTCTCTTCTCCTCCATTTTCCTTTTGGGATTTTGAGCAAATGCCTACAGGTGCCAGACATGAGTTTCAAGCCACTGGGTTTGAGATTCAAACTTGGTTCAGCCATGTGGGAATCCAATAACTTAACCATTGCACCATTTGCTGGTCCCCAAGAAATGTATTTTTACAAACTTCTTTTATTCTCTGAACATCATAGATTGCACTTACACAAACATAGATGATATTTTACACAGCACGTGGAAATTATATGGCCTATACTATTATGTTATAGGAGTACTAACATATATACAGTTTGTTATTGACTGAAATGTCTTATGTCTTTATAGAGCACATGACTTTTTCATATATATGTATGTGTGTGTGTGTGTATAAAAAAATTCTGTATGTATCCTGAAATCATTTATCATTTGTGAACAAAGTCCTTCTTAAAATTTGGTATACTGTAAAGACAAAGTAGATTATAGATAAAGATACCATTGATGCTTTTGTAAACACCATTTACATTTCCTCTTGTCATTTTGCATACAATTTTTATTTTATTAGGATTTATTTATTTTATTTATTACTTATTATTTTTGTTTTTCAATTTAACCAGAGAGAGATAGGAACAGAGAGGAAAAATGTAAAAGCAAACAATCATGTCTGGGATTTGAATCATGGTCAGCCCTGCAAGAGCACAGTGCTCTAAACCCTACACCACCTGCCAGGCCCTTGATACCATTCCTCATTGTACTAAACATCTCAAAGCACTGACTATAATCTCAGGCAATTAGATGAGACAGAAGATTTATACAAATATCATGTTTTGTACATGTATTGTATTCATATATAAAAGCAGTGCTCAACTAGAGTCAGAAGCCCAGAAATGGACTTTCATCATTTATCTGTTGGCCCATGTGTTATTTTTTTTTGAGATTTTTTTTTGTTGTTGTTATAGGGCGCATGCCCTCGCCAGAAAGACAGAGAGAGACAGAGAGACAGAAAGTGAGAAATTACCCCTGAAGGGGGATGGCCACACCACAATCCCTTCTCCTCCATTCTCCTCTTGGGATCTTGGGCATGCATGCACACGTGCCCAGCGTGAATTTAAGCCACCGGGTCCAGGACTCGAACTGCGGTTGACTACATGGAAGTCCAGCAACATAGCCATTACGCTAACTGCTGGTCCCTTGGCGCATGAGTTTTAAGTTAACATTTTTTGCTTACATAATATTACATTGTTAGATATTTTAAAATCCAGAACCTAATATTTTCTACCCAACCAGATATGAGGACATAGTATAAATATTCTTGGAGGAACAAAACCTTTCAGAGTCTTTACCATGTAAAAACTTGCATTCAAATGGTTTTAAATGAAGTAATTGCATAAGGAGAGAAAATGACACCAGGGATATTTTTAGTAATGTATGAGATAAAGTAATTAGGAACCTTGGAAATATTTGGTAAATAATATATAAAGGGTACCTGCAGGTGGTGAGGTGGTTAAAGCACTGGATTCTGACATGGTCGATCAATGTTTGAGTTCCAGAAAAGATGACTTGGTTTCTCACTTTAACTTTATCTCTCTGTGTGTCTCTTTCTGGTCAAATTATAAAGAAATAATAAAATGAAATAAATTTTTTTAAAAAAATTAAAACATAATAAACATAAAGAAGAAAGTTAAGTATACTAGTTCTTAATAAGAAGTCTAGGTAGGGGAGGGCAACAGGTTGTATAGTGGTTTAGGCTCTGAAACCCAACATGGCTGAGTGCAGGTCAAGTCCTGGAACCAGAGGCCTGAAGCTTATGTCAGGCATAAATGCATGCATGTCAAAAATTCTGAGAGGAGAATGGAGAGGTTATAGTTGTGTAGCAATAACACTGGGGGGGGGTATTTTTTTCTTTCTTTGTATTTCCCTCTCTCTGGAGCACATGCACCCTGTAACCAAAATCTCTGCCTGAAAAAATAAATAAAAGCCTAAGTAATATCTAAAGTATAAACAGTAATGAACTATTAAATGCCAGTTTTCTCTAAAGTGGAGAGAATTAATGACAGATAGTCAAAATAACTCATAACATACATGATTATGACTAATGATTTTCTTTTCTGCTCAGACTCCTGAGTCTGTGTGTAGTCACAGCTGTATTCCTGGATTCCAGAAAATTCCCCAAGAAGGAAGACCTGTTTGCTGCTTTATTTGTGCTTCTTGCCCAGAGTCATCTATTTCAAATCAAACAAGTATGAAATATACAACTACACTATCAGTCCCTGCTATTGCTCAATAATAATGAAACTATTACTATTATAAATAAAGCATAGGGGTGAGCAGGTGGCATGGTGGGTTAGGCATTTTCCCATGTGGCCAACCTCAATTCAGTTCCCAACTAAGAAACTTGAAAGTCATGCCAGGCGCATGGACATGTGTGCTGAAAATCTTGAAAGAATAGACTGGCATGGCCATACCACAAAAAGAAGGGATATTTCTCACTTACTTTATGTCTGTCTCTCTGGTGAGCACATATGCTTTATAGAAAAAGTATCCTTTAAAAATAAATTAATAAGTGAAACATAGAGCATCACAGTTATTAATTTACATAATTTTTGTTTTGCTACATGTATTTTATAAACAATCTCCTACCTTATTTTATGTAAGCTGTTTCCTGCCCATGCTCATTCTATGAGGCTAAGCACCAAAACTGTTTCCAATGAACACCCTTGCTGTTTGGTGCTGGGTAAGACAGTGTCAATTCTGGATCTCATACTGGACCACACTAGTCATGAATAGGAGGATGTGTAATTACCAAGTTTACCTGTGGGTGCCTTAAAGTTCGAATCTGACTTTGAGACCCAGATGATAAGCAGAACAGAATTCCAAATAAACTATTATGAGAATATTTTATAACTCTTTAAACCATACTCAAACACCTGTGCAATTAGGTACAAAGAATTGACTAATATCAGAATACCACACCTTGATACATATTACAGGAACAAAAAGAATCATAGTTTACAAATTGAAGATTCAACATTCTAATAAATTTCACAATTGGGCACATCAAAATATGCTCTCATATAAAATATAAATCAAGCAATTATCATAATAAAATGTTGTAATATTATCAAATATGAACTATGGAAAATTATAAGAAATAATACCTCCATTTTTCTTATATATAAGGAATAAATATGGTTTGAATTCTTTCATAAGTTATGCAATTGTAGAAATTTTAACAGTAGAAAATATTTGAATTTCATTGCTAGTAAAGGTAAATATATATGTTCAGGAAAGAATATGCCAAAAAAGAATACTACTTATCTTTTATGAAGGAATTGCAAAACCAAATAAGTTTGCAAAACAAGAAATAAAAGTAGAGGTACATTGCTAGCCTATGGCATGATAGTTGGGACGGCTGAAATCCACATGACCTAAATTGTGAATTGAGTCCCAAATCACATGACTTGGAATACATAAAGAGTTCGTGTGTTGTCCCAAATCCTGGTAAGTGGAAAAAATGATGCAGAAGGTATTATGGCCTGACCATTTCATGAAAGTGGTGATGTCTCACTTCCTCATTCTCTCTGTGTCTCTCTCTATTGAATGCATGTGCCCTCTGGCAATAGGGCCAGCAAGTTACATGTTTGTTTAGATGCTGGACTCCCACATGAACAATTGGGGTAGAAGTCCCAGACCTGGTGGCTCACTTTCTCACTTTCCCTCTGTCTCTGTCTCTATCTGACAAGCACACATGCCCTACAACAAATTTTAAAAATAATAGTGAATAAAATAAAATTAAAAATTCTTTAAAAATTCAAAAGGAAAAACAAAGTAAGAAATAGTTTGTGATCCACAAGAAGACATTCATGTGTTTGTGGGTACCAAACTTGTCTCTGAGAGAGAAGACAGGAGTATCTACTGATTCTAGAAATAGGAATAGATACTTTAAAAAATGTTATTAACTATCACTAATTCTTCTTTTTAAATATTGTTTTAAGTTTTATTAATCATTATTACTTTTCAAATTTGCTAGAGGGCACATACACTCACCAGAGAAGGAAGAGAAAGAGAAAGGGAAACTAGTAAGCAAGTTTTCAGGTTTGAGACTCAAAATGCAGTCAGCCATGTGGGAGTTTTGCATCTTTACCATCATGCCACCTGCTGGTCTCTACTCTAATTCACTGAGAATATATTGGTTTACTGTAAAAGTCATGAATTATTTTCTCTGCAAAAATGAGTCATGACTTTTCTCACAACCCAATGCTATTGCCTCAGTATTACCAAAAATAAATAAATAAATAAATGAATACTTGAGATATGAAAAGCAACCCTACCTATTTTTGTAAAAAAAAAATCTGAAACATGAACGTGCCTGTTAATTTCCATAAGCTCTGTGAATATTTTTCTGGTACTTTACAATAGAGGTGATTAGTTGCAACAGAGACCTTATAATGTATAAAGGCAAAAATATTACCAGCCACATAAAAAAAATCAACAAACCATGCTTTCAGATGTATATAAATGGATACTTTAAAAATAACACCCCATCCTTCTATCATATACTTAAAATATAAATTTCTCAAAAAATTGATACATAGGGGCAATCAAATTCCATTCAAGATTCAAATGTTTTATATTTAAGCTGTTTTCAATATTTACATAGGAGTGTTTATGATAATATTTACAGAAAAATCAAAATGTACAAAGAGAAAAGTCTGTACACAAAGTGACATATTATATACAAGAAAAAAATCAATAGAAATTAGGTTAGAGGAAAAGTTAAGATATCCCAGGAGAATAAGTTAAAGTGATTTTTGTCTAAATATAAATAAGAAAACTATTCATTACTATTGTGAGTAACCATTAAGATAAGCCATGGAAATACAAGGTTTATCAAAAAATTAGAATAATAATAATAATGATTGGGAAAAACATTGAAAAGATATTGAATGATGAAGTGGGGAGATTAATGTCTCTGTATTGACTGACATGCATGGCATTCCCTTTTGAAAAAGCAATGTAATACACTGTAAAGTTATATGTAATCCAATGTAATATAAAGATTATGATGATAATAAAAATAAATAAAATAAATATATAATAAATAAATAAATAAATAAATAAATAAATAAATAAATAAATAAGGACCTCAGGAGAGAGTAGAGAAGAGATCTGGAATAAATTCTCATCCTTGGTAACATCATTGAGAGTCACAAAATGGGTGAGCCAAGATCCTCATATGCTGAGACTCAGTTTTATATCACTTTGATGTTATCTTCAGCTGAAAGAATTCCTCCAGTGTCATGAACAAGGGCTCTTAATATGGTGTATCTTGGTATCACTTCAGGAGCTTTATCTGTGCAAAATTACACAAAAGTAACCATTAGCTTCCATGACAAACAATTACTGAAATTGAATTGCTGGAACTTTGCTTTTTTACCAGATGCAAAGCAGTGTATCCAGTGCCAAGCTCAGGAGTATCCAAACAGTGAAAAAACTCACTGCCTTCCCAAGCCTGTGACTTTCCTGGCTTTTGAGGATGCTTTGGGGACATCCACGGCCTGCATGGCTCTGTGCTTCTTTTTCATCACAGTCATAATTTTTGGGGTCTTTGTGAAGCACCGAGACACTCCTATTGTCAAGGCCAACAACCAGGCTCTCACCTTTGTTCTGCTCATATCCCTCCTGCCATGCTTCCTCTGCTCCTTGCTTTTCATTGGCCATCCTAACACAACCACTTGTGTCCTCCAAGTCACATTTGGCATTGTGTTCACTGTGGTTGTTTCCACTGTTCTGGCCAAAACAATTACTGTGATTCTGGCATTCAATGCTGTGAAACCTGGAAGAACAATGAGGTGCTTGCTCCTCTCAGGGGCTTCTAACTCTGTCATTCCCATTTGCTCCCTGATCCAAATTATTATCTCTGGAATCTGGTTGAGAACCTCTCCCCCTTTTGTTGACATAGACTCACATTCTGAGCCCAGAAACTTCATCATTGTGTGCAACAAGGGCTCAGTGACTGCTTTCTACTGTGTCCTGGGCTACTTGGGCTTCTTGGCTCTGGGGAGTTTCACTGTGGCTTTCCTGACCAGGAACCTGCCTGATACATTCAATGAAGCCAAGTTCATCACATTCAGCATGCTGGTGTTCTGCAGTGTCTGGGTCACATTTGTCCCTGTCTATCACAGCACCAAGGGGAAGTTTATGGTGGCCATGGAAGCCTTCTCCATCTTAGCCTCTAGTGCAGGGCTCCTAGGCTGCATCTTTGTTCCCAAGTGCTACATTATTCTGATAAGGCCTGATGAGAACTCCTGGAAAGCTTTAAAAAACAGAATGGGTTCCAAATAAAACAGGAATTCTAAGGTTTCATCTCTAATGCCTGTATCACAATTTTAGGGTCTTGAACCAAAAATGCACCCTTATTTTATATTCTTATGTGATAAAATAACTGAAAGTGACTGACTTTTTAATTTCATTTTTTAAAAACAGTCATTGTACATATAATCTTAAACAGGTATTAAACCTGGAACTATAAATGGTATCTTAGATTAATGGACATTTTTTACATTATATGCATTTATTAATTGCTAAATTTTATTCACTATTATTCCTTGTGTTCTCCTAGCAAGATTTTTACTTTTCTTTAGTCAGAAATAATGTCTTTATTTCCATATCTAATTTACTGATTTGTATCTTCTCTCTTTTTTAAGACGATCTATCTAATCTTCAGTAAATTTATTGATGTTATTAAAAAAAAACTAGCTAGTAGTTACATTGGTCCTCTGCATGATTTTTAATATCTCATATTTATATTTAGTCTAATCTTTTTCGTAAGGTAGATTTTTTTCTATAAGGCACATGTGCTCACAGGAGAGGCAGAGAGAGACAAAGAGACAGAAAGTGAGTTATCACTCCTTAAGGGAAATAACCATGCTGCAATTCCATCTCCTCCATACTCCTCTAGAAATTTTGGGCATAAATGCACATGCTCCCAGTTTGATGTTTAAGACACTAGGTCAGGGACTGAAACCATGGTTTACTTTCTGGGAGTTGGGTGACATAACCATTATGCCATCTGCTGGTCTCCCATTTCAATCTTAATTTTTCTTTCTGCTAGCTGGAGTTTCTGCTTTCTGCAGGGTCTTGATGTGTTAAATTGTGTTGATCTAATGTCTCTTTTATTTTTCCACTCCAGAAATTTTATTATACCATTTTCATAATTTAAATTTATTGACTTGCTAAACATTTTACCTAAATGTGTAGAAACTGCCTAGAGATACAAATCAGAGTACAATAATTATATGAAGAGGACAAAAAAAGGATACTCACTAAAACAAAGTTATTGTAGATTGCAGCACTTTAAATTGGTCATCTATATTCTTAAAAAGTTGTGGGACCAATAGGTGACAAAGTGGTTAGGCACTGGACTCCCATATAGTCAACCATGATTTGAGTCCTGGACACAGCATCTTGTAACTCATGCTGGTTTGGTGTGCATGTGTGCCTATAATCTTGAGTGGAGAATGAATGAGGAGGGATAGCGGTGTGTTTTATTCTCCATGAAAGGAAGATCTCTCCCTTTCTGTCTATTTCTCTGTGTTGCTCTGGTAACTGCATTCACCCTATAGAAAATGTGTCTATTGGGACCAGTAGGTGGCATAATGACTATGTCACTTGTCTCCCATGTAGTCGACCATGGTTTGAGTCCCAGACCCAGTGGCTTAAACTTACACCAGGCACGTGTGCATGCGTACCCAAGATCCTGAGAGAAGAATAGAGGAGAAGGGATTGCAGCATGGCCAACCTCCTTGGGGGGTGTTTTCTCACGTTCTATCTCTCTGCCTCTCTTTGTCTTTCTGGTGAGTGCATGTGCCCAATAGCAAAAATCTCTCAAAAAATTAAAAATAATTTAAAACATTAGTTATATAGTGTGGCCAGAATGCAGTGAAGTGATTAATATGCTGAACTCCCACATACCCAGCCGTGGTTCAAGTCCCGGACCTGTCAGCTTGAAAATTCACTTTAGGCACTTGTGCATGCATGTTCAAAATACCAGGAAAAGAATGGAAGAGAAAGGATTGCAACATAACCAAAACCCCTGTGTGGTTATTTTCACTTTCTCTCTCAAAGTCCCTCTCTGCCAAGTACACATTCCTTCTGGCAAAAACCTTTTAAAAAATAAAAAAGAGTTGTATAGCTACAAAATGACATACTGCTGATTAACTGTTGAGCAGTTTTAAGAGGAAATGATACATTTAATAAATGACATTTCAGTAGTAAGTTGTACACTTATTTAATTTCAATGTAATTGTTGAAACTTGATTTACTCTGGACTGAATTCTGATAATAATTTTTTATTTAAAAATTTAAAAATTTCCACTTTTCTACATAGAATCTATTTTCCACTCTTGGAAGTCCAGTGCCTTAATATAAAGCCTGTGAGGGACATAGCCATACAGATGCCTGATTGGTCCCCTCTAGGGGCACCCACCTTTTGCAACACTGGTCACAGGAAGGGGGATACAGAGGCCATTGGGAGGGATTTCCTTGTAGAGGTTGATAGGGAGAGTAGTGATTATCAGGTCACTAGTTCTGTCCCTGGAAGTTGGGACATGAGTTCCTTTTGACTGTGATGAAAAACCTCCTCCTGTCATGATGGGCGAAGTCTTTTTACAAGCAAAATGAGAAATAGTGATTGACTGTTTTAAAAAAATAATTAGAATACTAATAATAATGATTGGGAAAAACATAGAAAAGATATTGAATGATGAAGCAGGGAGTTTAATGTCCCTGTATTGACTGACATGCATGGCATCCCCTTTTGAAAAAGCAATGTAATACACTGTAAAGTTATATGTAATCCAATGTAATATAAAGAAGATTATAATGATAATAAAAAGAAAAAAGAAAAAAGAAAATGTTTTACTATTTGATTACATTTCTAGTATTAACTTTTTTTATTAAAAATTAATTAATTTATTTTACGTACTTTCACTAGACATCATCACAGCATACAACATGTGGTTTTCCAGTCAGAATACACTATAAAGTGGTTTAATCATACATGGTATCATCAACAAATAATTTTCCATTTATTTTTTCATATATATATATATATATATGTATATACACACACATATATATATGTACACACACACACACATATGTATTTCAGAGAGAGATTTTTATTATGGGGTACATGTACCAATTGGAGAGACAGAGACAGAAAGCAAGAAATCACTCTCCCAGGACTGTGGCCACTCGACAGTTCCTTCTCCATTTTCCTCTCTGGATTTTGGGCAGGCACGCACATGCTCCTGGTGTGCTTGAAGCCACCAGGTCCAGGACTTGAACCATGTGAGAGTCCAGTGCCTTAACTATATGCCACCTGCTGGCCCTGTCTGCAACTCTTTTTTTTTTTTTAGTCTGCTTCTTTGGGGGTTTGGGTTTGAGG